AGAGTCATAATCTACAACAAAATATATTACTCTCCATCTTACTACATATTCCATTGCTAAGACTAAAGTAATATAAAACCCATACCGATGTAACCTGGCACCTCCTTTCACGTGATACAACTACTAATAAAGGAGCTGCAAAAAAACATTAAGTTACATTTAATAAGTAGGTAACTTAATTTAGTAACAACAATCTAAATACAGAATTGCCTTTTAAATATATTGCAAATTCCAATATCAAGCAAAAGTATTGCTGAGTCTGCAAATCATTTTCCAGCTGTAATTACCTCTAAAGCATAGTAATAGAAACATGTCAAAAGCAAGCAATGTAAACTCAAGGGCTAATGATAACTATAGCACAAACGGTAATGGTGAACAAACTTTATTACCAATCACATCAAACCTCAAAATTTAATACCACATTGTAGTCATTGTGCCAAGCAAGTACCTGTAAAAAGTATGAATGTGAATACTAACTAATAATGATAACGGTAGCATCTACATTGTTTCTGATTGGATCATACATTTATGTGAATGCATCTATTTTAGACATAACATATGCTTACTAATGGTATCCTCAATTACGATACTTTTGACATTCTTAATATAAAATAACACTGTATATAAACAATGTCCAATGTCCTAATAATATGTGACCATAATTGACAAAAGGTACCTTATGGCGGGTAGTGAAATTTGTCTTTCTAGCCTAAGAAATCCAACTTCCTGAGCCCCATTTATCATAAAATTACTCCACAGGATGCAAAAAGTTACCATAAAACTTTTAGAAACAATGATTGTCTAACAAAGCACTCACAGGTTGATATTTTCCATTATAACGATCAATTTTAAAATCCGCCATAAGGGCCCTTTTGTCAATTATGGTCACATATTATTTTGTTAATAAAAACATGCACATGTTAAAACAATCATCAATAAAAGATGCGCAACGTCAGCCGGCAAGCATTAACTTTATAATGCACACAGCATGATGGCAACATTATAATGTGTAGCAAGTACAATAGTCATTTGAGGAAAGTGATCCCAAAAGCAATTGAAGAAAATGGTGGACCAACAGGACATTGACCTCTTTCACACACACAACACATTCAATGGTTAAATTACATAGATTGTACATATTTAAAATTTTATTTTAGTAAAATAGTATCACTTTAAAATACTGATTTTTAAAACCATAAAATATATAACTATACAGCATTCACAAATCAAACCATAACAGTCTGCAGTTCCAGCAACACACAAGGACAATGTAAAAGCAAATAGGATAAGCATCATTATTATATACATTATAGAGCAGAGTACATGTACATCACTTCCACAAATGTTCAAGTATACAAAATTCACAAATCAAACCATAACAGTCTGCAGTTCC